AGAAAAAAAAAAAAAAAAAAAAAAAAAAAAAAAGATACAATGAGGATATGCACCAATAAACATATACGAATAAAAACTAATACAAATAAAAAGGCTTTAAAAATAAATATTTTGTATTTGTGTACATCTGTGTGTTAGTAAAGAAATGATCTCTATTATTAAATGTCTAGCTATATATAATTCTTTTTTTTGAGGTTGTCCATTATTTATTATATGAAAGCAGCACCATTGTTTCAGTAACGTAGGAGATGCCAAACCACAGAACACGATAAGCTTTTTCTCCACACAAAACTTTATAATCCACTTTTCAGCTTGCATACATGAGCAAACATATTTTACAGCTTTCTTGAGACAGTTTATATGCTATACAATTAGTATACATTCCCCTTTAAAAATAGTGTACAGTGTACAGTTCAGTGGCCTTTAGTTCGCTCTTAGAATTGCATAACCATCTCCCTAATCTAATTTTAGAAGATTTTCAACACCATCCAAAAGTATACTGCAAATCTGTCTTTTCAAAGTAAGCAACTATCATAAGTGACAGTATATTTTGGATAACTGTGATTAACGTTCTGATGATGATGTTTAAAACAAGTAAATCAGTGATCTAATGATTCAAGGGCTTACCTGTCTAAATCATAAACAAAATAACTCAGACAGTAGTTTTTTTTTGTATTGTACTGGGAATGGAACTCAGGACCTTGTGCTTGCTAGGCAGACACTGGTGCTGCTGAGCTATATCCCCAGCCATAAACAAAATAACTCACTAACGGTTACATGTTAAGTATTTCGATGAATTTTTACACAGTGATGGCTAGATACAGAGGAAGTGTCAAATTGTACAATTTAATTCAACTTTCTCTTCTATAATTTCTAGAAACATTCTTTTATTATCTATGTTATGTATTAAATCTTCCATTATTATTCAATGTAAAGATTTCATGACTGAAAATTTGGCATTCATTAACTACAAGCTTTAGAAAAAGTTGTTAATGTCTCTAGTATCTTCATATAAATGTTTAATGGGCTGGAGAAGAAATATTTATAGAATATTTACATTTTGGACCAAAATCTGGTCCAGGAATTCAAAATATTAATATAGACAGAAACGTTCAGAAAATAGTAGTTTTTATTTGTGATGAAATTTCTGCTCAAGGAAATATAATTATCAACACTGATGATTTAGCATAAAGAGAAAAGGATTCCAAGGAATATGATTTTAGCACATTAAATATTTGCCCCATGAATAATATTAATATGACTTCATAATCTCTTCAAATAGTAACTCGAACAATGACCAAGCACAACACTACATTGTATGAAATTTTCTAGGAAAATGTATTTCAAATTGCCTTAAGTTCAAATCATTCAATCTTCTCTAATGAATTAAATGAAGTTTAAAATATTGTCATCAATATTAAAATAAGCACATATAATTTTCCCATTTTTAGAATTTTCTTAGACACTAAGTATGCCCACTTATTAACTATTATGAAAAGAGTAAATATTAAGCTAAATTTTAAATTTTAAAATAGCAAATTTAGTATCAATTCAATATATTAGTTACGCTATTATTAACAAGTTAGAATTTCTTTGCCACAAGAATTTAATTAAGTTAAAACTGTAGAGATCATATGCCATATAATAATGGATATAATTTTCCTAAATTCAGTTTTAAAATCATTATTAACATTTACATTATAAAAAAGGGAGGTCTAAACAAAGAAAAATAGCAATGATATGTTAAAGAATACAAACACACATGCACACACAGAGATTTGGAATTCTGAGAAAGGAAAAATGAAAAAAAATCACCTTAACTGCATAAATCATTTTCCTGTGTCATCGTACAAATAGGAATATTAACTAATGTAGAAAATATATTTAAATTATAATAATATCTAACTACAATCTTCCAATGATTTGTTATTTTAATAATGAACCTTAAATAGTGTCACTTTTTTGAAAAAAGTAGTATCTTATTTACCATATCTTTAAAGGCTACCTTCACTTGTTTGTTCCTTAGAGTATAGATGAATGGGTTCAGCAGAGGAGCAACTGAGGTATTTAAAAGGGCCACTCTTTTATTAAAAGTTGCTGCATCCTTTGCAGAAGGATTTATATACATAAAGATACAGCTTCCATAAGAAATTGAGACCACAATCAGATGAGAGGAACACGTAGAGAAAGCTTTTTTTCTCTCTTGAGCAGAGGGGATTCTCAGAATGGTCCTGAGAATGAAGGAGTAGGAGAGAATCACCAGGAGCAGGGTAAAGATGAGCGTCACTGCAGCAAGGACAAACTGAATCACTTCTATGAAACGTGTGTCTGAACACGATAGATGCAACAATATGGTATAGTCACAGCAATAATGATTGATGATGTTGGATGCACAGAAAGGCAGCTGGAGAGTCATTCCATACGGCACAACGACAACTAGAAAGCCGGAGAACCATGAACATAGGACAAGCTGAATGCATAGTCTCCTGCTCATTCTAATTGGATAATGCAGGGGTCTGCAAATAGCAACATAACGATCATAGGACATGGCAGCTAAAAGGTAAAATTCAGTTGCTCCTAGCAAGATTGCAAAAAAATACTGTGTGAAACAACTGGCAAAAGAAATAGTCTTGTCTCCAGTTATAATATTGAGTAGCATTTTGGGAACAAATACGGATGTGAAAGATATTTCCAAGAGAGCAAAATTTCGGAGGAAGAAATACATAGGCGTCTGGAGGCGATAATCCAGCAGGGTCAGAGTGATGATGGTCACATTTCCCATGATACTGGAGACGTAAGTTAGCAGCAGGAAAAGCAGAAGCACGGCCTGAACTTGGGCATCGTCTGTTATCCCAAGGAGGACGAACTCTGTCACTGAGCTTTGGTTTCCCGTCATTAGCCTCAGACAAGTTAAGGAAGAGAATAACAACAGTGATAAAGATTGAATAAAACTGGTTTCCAATTATTTTATGGAAATACAAAACCATGGCCAGCAAGTGATGAAAAATAACATGTTTCTACACCTTACTTTGGAAATGAATTATAAATGAACAAAAAGAAAAACAAACCAACACCCTGAAATATTGCACTTCATAAATTAAAAAAAAAATTGTCCTTCTCCTTAGGGACAGCTTTGATTACTTCTAAACTGTATCAATATTTTTTCCATTTTCTTATTCATTCTATTCTGATTTTCTCTAAATTATTGCTTGCTACTACGTATGTGTAGATAAATGTAAAGCCAGGTTAGCTGTCTAATAGTCAATTTAAATATATAACCCAAGGAAAGACTCATAAGAATAAAAGTGAACTTTGGCATTGTCTTCTCTTATTTTGTATTTTTTTTTGCTTATTTCAATTTGTTCATTTTGAATGATGATTACTTTGTGAACCTACTGAAACTCAAAGTCTCCATAGACTTTTCTGTAAATTTTAACAATGTGTTCAGTACTCATAATAACTATAGTTCCTGAGTTATGGCAATGACAATAGAAGACACGACCATTCAGTGTAGGCATGTGGGTTAGTTCGTGCTTAATCAAATACTAAATCAAAATAATCTCATAATTTTGCTGCCTTGTCATACATATGATCTGCCCACCACTATATTATAGTTTCTTAAAAAGTCAATTCAACTCAGCTTCCCATTCAATTTTTTCTAGCAAACTCAGCAATAGTTTATATATCTTTATAAATATGTAGCAAAATAATAATACTTGGTCTTAAAATCAAACTATTTTCAGTTATATCAAATGTATGTTTTATTTTTAACTTAAAATGAATAAATTACTGCCAAAATATGCTTCTATGTACATACCTTTTGTGAAATTAATCAGACACATAGTAGATATCTCACAATTTCTCTTATATGAGAAACCAAAATATAAATAAATTAGAGAAAAATAAATAGTAAATAGTAGGAAATGGAGATAGATCTTTTGCAAAAGAGAAGGGGACCAAGAGAAGAAGGGAGAGGAGGAAAAGCATGGAAGGAAATTAAGATGTGTTTCTATACGTGTACGGACTCCTCACAATGAATGTAGTCATTATTCCTTGCAAACATGCACTAATACACATAAAGATTTAAAGAAGGATAGGCGTCTATTTCTTTCTACATTTGTTGAGATAGTCAATCATTATGCAGTCAAAACTGCTATTGTTCTTTCTAACTCAGCCTACCAAGTTCTGTAATTCCAAGTATGCCCCCTCATACCTGGATGCATTCTATCTTTTATAAAGGGTAGAAAATTATATAGGTAGGTAAATATTTTAATGCAAAATATATTTTGACTTTTGAATATAAATAAGCCTATTATATTTAATGTTATTGAATTCTTATTCAACTGAAAATTTCTACTGTTTATACATAGAATTCTTCACAATTTTCCTTTTAATATTTTTGATCATCAACAGGAAGATGTATTAGTAAGAGAATACTTTTTCTTACTCAAAAAGCTATGAAGATTTTTTCATGTTAACAATTGTTTCATTACCTTTTAAGTATATTTTTATAATATAGTAAGAAATAAATGATAGTCACACATGCTTCATCTTTGTCAAAGTTAATATTTAATATAGACAAAGACAGTTCCTACCAAATTAGAGAAATTTATTATCTAGTATAATTACACCTGGAAAATTTCAAAGTTCCAAATTTTGCAACATGAATAATTTGAACTTTACTAGAAAATAATCTTTAAAGAAAATTTCACAAGTTGGATGTAAGAATCAAATATATCAATGTTTTAAACCTCTAATATACTAAGCAGTTAAACAGTGTTACATTAAACAATCTTCTATATTAAGGGACAATGTAAATTATCCATAATACACTTTTAACTGTGAATTATAATTATGGATATCTATGTTTGATTATATTGTCTTGCTTATTTTATAATGATTATAGAAAAATTGATGTGAAAATTTAAAAATTATTCACTAACAGCAAACTTTATAATTCATATTCAGAGAAATACTGTTATCAATTGCACTATGACAAAATACTTCATTACTAAATTATAACATTACCAGAACTTAGTTGAATAAATTCAACCAAGCTTGGAAATTCAACTAATCAGTAATGATTTTGGTTTTACACGAAAATAGCTAGAATGTCTCAAATAATTTGAAGAGATCAATTTGATCTTCCACTTGGAATTCCTAAATATTAATTAGGACTTAAAATTCTAACTTACAAAGTACTTAGCAAAAAAATTGCATTGACTAAACATTAACATGTTGAAATTTCATAGTTTAGTCTTTTTTGACAAAACATAAATTTTACAAATGATTATTTTTCTGAATGCACAAATGAATGAGCTATCAAAAATGAGAGCAAAGTAACATCTTATATTAGTAAATGATCTTATCTAGTGACTAGAAATAAAATGATTATCTTATATAAGAAAAGTTTATATCAAACACTTATTTCTGTGTATTAAATGATAACAGTCCTTTACAATAAAGACTGGTGATATATATGTATATAAATTAATATCATCTGTATGCAAAAAATAATAAAAACAGTCTGATCAACTGTACTTGACAAAAAATAAATGTCTCCCAAAGTTTTATTGCCTGGACACTGATTAAAAGGTTCAAAATATGTTGTAATTGTGATTACAAGCACATGGAAAAAATCTGTCAATCCTTGATAAATTAATTATAATTGCTTGTCCCAAAGTAAAAGCATTCCTAGAATGAATTAGGTAACCCTCATGTTTAGCCTCTGTCCCATACAGTGGACCTCAAATCTTTAAAAATTACCTACCAATTCATGAATTATTGTTCTAGGTTACATTTAGAAGGAATACTAATAGAACAAGCTCCATGGGAAGTAAGAACAGGAATAAAGAAAGCAAAAAGTAATATGAATTGCATTACCATTTTAAAATCTAATTGTGTGAATATGGTAGAATATTTTTTACCTAAAGATGCATATATGATAAAATTACATATGTTAGATTTTATCTACATTTGTATAAATTAATAAAAAACATAAAAAGAATGTGTGTGCAGTTATGTGAACACGATGAAAAGTAAACATACAATAAAGAAGCTGTGTGTCCCTCATATGCAGCAAACACTAACCTTCTCTTGCTTCACTCACATGACTCAGTTCTCAGTTCCAAGACAGATGCTGAATTAAAGAATATAAAGGTTTAGGATCTACTGGGAAATGGTCCCTTGGCCATAAGAAGGTGAAAAGCTCAAGAAAAATATATGAAGTTGAAGACAAATAAGAAAAGTATTTGAACTTGTTTATTCTACTCACTTCATAAACACTGTCACAAAAAATTATATATGTCTTTGTCTACTTTGAGCTTTGAATGCTTATTAATATCTCTGTGAATAAAAGTATACATAAGCATTGCAAAAGTACAACTTTTCCTGGTAGGAGAAAAATGACTAAATGTAGTATGAAATCTTAGGTAAGAAAATAGACCCTAGCAGGAAAACAGGTAAAATCTGAATAAGATTTTTACTTTTGTAGTGCTGCAGTTTACATCCAGATGTCTCTGCAAAGACTCATGGGCTTACGGAGGGAGCTGTGGAGAGTGGGCTGGTCATGGGGTGTTATACTCATCAGTCCTTTAGTCCTCTGGGAACTTTATAGCTAAATGTGGAGTGGGGAGGTGAAGCCTGTGAGGAGCAGGTGGGTCACCAGGGCTTGGGCTGGAGAGATAGATCTCTCTTTCTGTTCCACTGATCCCTTTATTGTTCCTGCCTGCCCTGACATGAGCTCTTGCTGCTCCCATGATCCTCCTCCAAGATTTGGATGCTTTGGAGTCAGTCATCTGTTTGGGGGCAGCCTCTTATGAACTGTGTGCCAAAATAAACTACTCTGTCTTTATTTTCTTTTTTATTATATGGAAAAAATATCAAACAAAAATGTATAACAAAATAATGCAATAACAATAATGATACATAGCATGTCGTTATCTTTAAAGTAGTTGCTCAGGGTAGAAGTTGTTGGCCTAAAAATTTCTCCAATCAATATTAACACAAACCTTCCTTTTTAATGTTCTAAGACACTAAGGGCATAACTGACTTGCATTTTTCCCCTTTTCCCTATTTTCCTTTCCCCCTTCCCCCATCCTACTTTCTTTTTTCCTTTTGAACAATTTCTTTCTATTTCACAATATCTATTGTATATTTTAGACCTTATTTACTCTTTCAAATTATCACTCAGAGGAGACAATACAATGTTTACACACGTGAGTCTGATTTATTTCATTTATGAGTATGGTCTCAAGTTGCATACACTTACCTATAAAAGTCATCCTTCTTTATAGCTGAATATTACTCCATTGTATAAAAATACCACATATTTTTAATTCATTCCTCAGTTGATGGGCATTTGGGTTCTTTCCACGATTTAGCTATTACAAATTGTGGTGCTATTACAAATTGGGTGAACATATAGCACTGTGGTATGATGTTTTTAAATCTTCTGGGAAGATGCCCAAAAGGAGAATAGCTAGGTGGAATGAGACTTCCGATTTTAGTTTTTTGAGAAATCACCACACTGATTTTCACAGTGGTTACCCCAGTCTACACTCCCACTAAGAGTGCAGAAGTGTTCCTTTTTCCTAATGACCTCTCTGCCATTTGTTATTGATTTCTTGGTGATAGCCATTCTATCTAGGTGAGTTGGAATCTCAGTGTTGTTCTCAAATGAAAAGTAACATTAGACACGTTTTCATATATTTGCCATGTGTATTTCCTAATCTAAGAAGTGCACATTCATCTCAGATGCCAATTTTTGGATTAGGTCTTTGAATTTGGGGGATATGACTTTTTTCAATTCTTTCTATGTTTTAGATAGAAGTCCTTTGCCTAAGGGACAATTGACTAAAATTTTTTCCCACTCTGTGTGTTGTCTTTTCACTTTGT